TGTTGCGGTTGGAAGAGGGCTGGGAGGGAAGGCAAACTAAAGGAGGTAGGAGGTTTGGACCCTACGTTAAGACTCGCCAGGAAGCCCAGACAAGTGTCGGGCTCTTCAATGGCATGAGTTTCTGAAACACTGTACGTCAGATACGACAACGGCTCGTGATTACGATGCATTACCGCCATGGCTTCATGTGTTCATCAGATAACTGTAATACATTTTATTGCATCGATTTGATTTAAAGCAAACAGAAAACTTAGAGCCTTCTTGTGTTTTCTAACTGTAAACTGAGGACTAAACGACAGGTCACTTCCAAACACGTGCTCATGACTTAAAGCAAAGGAGAACTCCAATCTCAAGTTTTAGTTTAAGTCGATTATTCATTTAAGCTCATGGCTTTGAATTCGCGGACACTGGAACAGCCAATGAAATGAATTGGTTTCTTGCGAAACGTTTTGAGATTTAAAGCAATAGAACAAAATGTTCCTTCCAAACACGTGCTCATGACTTAAAGCAAAGGAGAACTCCAATCTCAAGTTTTAGTTTAAGTCGATTCTTTATTTAAGCTCATGGCTTTGAATTCGCGGACACTGGAACAGCCAATGAAATGAATTGGTTTCTTGCGAAACGTTTTGAGATTTAAAGCAATAGAACAAAATGTTCCTTTTTTGTATTTTGGCAAAGCTCAAGTGTTTTTGTTGGTGCGGTTCAACCTGTTGATTTCAAGCATTTAATTAGAAAACAAACATGAGCTGTGATAATCAAGTTAAAAAAGTTTTTAATTGTGCTCTGCTCAAGCATGGAGGCAAAAGAAGAATATGACTATTTTCGAACACTTTCCCAAATGTAAAATTTCTTTCACTATGAATATAGTTGTGCAAACCGAGAAAATTAATTGAAACAAAGTCAATGATGATTTTTAATGATTCATTGAGTTTGCTTGGTGGGTTCGTCTGGTACCATGCATGGCAACTACTATTCAAAACGTTCTCGCCTTGAAAGCGTCAACTATGGTTCCTTTATTTTGTATCAGGATTTTCTACCTCTTCTCCTTACTTAGCCTTAATTTAGTATGTTGTAATTTATATTCTGATTCACTCGCGTCTAAGACAAAAAGTTGTGACGCTAGGGACCATGCTTGTAATTCCAAAGCACGCCTTCTTGAAGATCGGGAAGACGGTGGTCCGACATTTGTGGGACGAAGTGGTCTTACACGATTAGATGGCTTTAAGGTAAGCTAATTCAACTCATCTATTTGCAATTTTTCTTAAACGTAGGCTTTGAAAGGATGACTCTATCCGATAAGTGCTATTTTCGAAAACAGACCGTTTGCCAGTGAGCGAGTTCTTCGGGGTGTCTCCTGATGTTGCGTGAATGTCTTGTGTTGTTTAACAGTACAAGTTTAAACCAGCTTTACTTCTGTGCTTGATCTCAGATCGGTATGCATTTAAATTTTAAAATATTTTTTGTTATGATCCTTTGTCATAAATGCTAACTACACCAGGATGTCGTTTATCTGTGGTTAATCGTTTTGTGATCCTTGTAATCATGCTTGCATTCATCACCGGCCTGGAACGGTAAAGTATAGAGAAATAAATCCCGTCAGTACTTTTATCAGATTTGAATGTTAGTATATTCGTGGCATAATTAAAATCTACTGTTATCGCTATTTTCCAGTCCTCCTCAGTCCCTAGATCTTGGTGACTGCGTGGTGGATTGCACTATAGTCTTAGTTACAAGGTTGCTTTTCTCAGTTACCCCTTTCCCAAACTCCACCTCGAAGACTCCTTCTTTCTTCAACTAAGCGAATTTAAGATCCAACTGACGTGACCGCAACGAGAACATCAAACAAACAAACAAACAAACAAACAAAAACAATAGGTTTAATAAGCAAAACAACAACTTTGCACTTTTTGTGGAGCTCGTAAACAAGCAACGACGAAATTTTATTTCTCTATATGAACTTGAATATGGTACCTTGTAATTCAGCTTCGGGAGGATTCACCAACATTTGACAAAGGGCATGGGTAAGAATAATCGCGATAAAGACTGAAAAATGACAAATTCACTTTTTTAAGCGACGTTCTCGTTGCCGTCGCGTCAATAGATATCAAAGT